TCCCCCTATATACCTATTTGTCAATTACTCCCTTGAATAGATACAACTTGACATCTATATTAGATATTGTTGTGTATGCCCTCAAACACAAACATTGAGAGAAATATTCCCGGGAAAAAACGTGGTATATCAAGTATCAAGAGATCACCATTCCGCCTAATATGCCAAAAAGGATTTGCAACAGGTGTGACCAAAAGAAGCCTTCATATGATTTCTACGATGATTCCAGAAATACATGTAAGGAATGCAAGATAAAGTCTTCCAAGGAGAGCTATCAGGCAAAAAAGAATGGTGGAAAGCATGTGAAATCTGGGAGATGTAAGAAAGATGAGGATGTGCAACAATCCGATGATGATTTACAGTATGAGAATAAGAAGTTAAAGAAACGTGTCAGAAAATTAGAGAAAGAAATGGATAAGATGAACCAAATTATTTCCCAGCAGAAGAGGGAGATTTATATAATAAATGCCTTGATCAAAGGATTTGCCAGTGGGAAATGTCTTGGGTCGAAATAGTTAAATATGTTATGGAATACCAATGGAAGTTGCAAGAATTTGTACAGACGATTATGGAAGGAGTTTTTAAAAAGACAACAGATATATCTATAAAGAATACATATACAAAAGCAAAAGAATCCAAATGGACATAGTTATCTAGCAGTATTACAAGAGCAAAACGTAAGGAAAGAGTATCAACATAAACATATTTTACATATCGGTAATCGAGGAATAGAATTGGGGGAGATCGCTTTTTTTTGGGCGAGGGAGTACACCATTTTTCTCGTCTTTTGTTAAGCTATGCCCACCATTTTAAAACACCTACGTTCATATAACATATATAGCATTTATACGTGTGTCCCCGGTGAATCTCATGCATATACATCATGATGATAATGGTACCAGCTTGGTTGACAGTACATGAATTTCCTGGGAATAATTCCCATAATACTACTTATGGAAGGTATATATATTGCACATTTTAAAAGTTTATTCCGATAGCTCAACAACATTGGCTGTATCTAATTCTTCCTCTTGATTTACCATGAGACCACTGGCAAATCCTTTGATCAAGGCATTTATTATATAAATCTCCCTCTTCTGCTGGGAAATAATTTGGTTCATCTTATCCATTTCTTTCTCTAATTTTCTGACACGTTTCTTTAACTTCTTATTCTCATACTGTAAATCATCATCGGATTGTTGCACATCCTCATCTTTCTTACATCTCCCAGATTTCACATGCTTTCCACCATTCTTTTTTGCCTGATAGCTCTCCTTGGAAGACTTTATCTTGCATTCCTTACATGTATTTCTGGAATCATCGTAGAAATCATATGAAGGCTTCTTTTGGTCACATCTGTTGCAAATCCTTTTTGGCATATTAGGTGGAATGGTGATCTCTTGATACTTGATATACCACGTTTTTTCCCGGGAATATTTCTCTCAATGTTTGTGTTTGAGGGCATACACAACAATATCTAATATAGATGTCAAGTTGTATCTATTCAAGGGAGTAATTGACAAATAAGTATATAGCGGGATGAGCATCTGGACGTCTTATCGCCGCAAATATATCATGCCCAGGCCTACACGTTTAACCAAAGCACGCCAGCAGGAAGTTGTTGCAGATTTTATTTATGAGAAGAATCTGGAATTGTGTATGTTTGTCTATTTGGATGAATTTTTAGATCATCATCGTAACCTCTTTCCACAAGATGCCACTATATTTGGCACTAACGGCATAAAAAAGTTATTAGAGGCATCTTATCAACTCCTACGTGACAAAATACGTGCAGATGGATTACTTACCGAGAAAGACGCTGGTGAATATATGCTTAGAAAAAAATGACGACCTAAATTATAGACTTTTTAAAACCTAAGTATACCTTTTATTATGTCGCCAACAAAAGAATCTCTGATAAACAAAGCCATCAACGAAATTTCCCATTTGCTGTCAAATGTGGGTAATCTACAGTCAGCACCATTTGGCAGTGTGGAGAGAAAAGGATTCACCAAATTCTCCAAACTCTTTTGCGATTCCATCATCTTTTGGGGTATATATAACTTTGCTGACGATACCACTAAAGGTACAGCAATTGGAAAGTACATTGCTGAACTGCGCGATGCATTTAACCACACCGATTTAATTGTGGAATCTGTAAAGTTGGTCGATGCTAGGCAGGTTAAAATGGATGATAACTATTTTTCTCCGCGCATGGTCAAACGCCATAGAAAGTTGTTTGTTGGAAAAGAATACCAACAGGGATTTATTGCCATCAAGGTTTCTTTAGATTTTTCCCGTGCAAAGATTGTTGTGCCAATTTTGGCGAACATGTTGTCTAGCTTGAACGAGAGCGGCATTGCTTTACATGACATAGACTTTGCCTATGATTGTACGCGTATTACCACACGACTGCACGTGGAGAGATTGCTAAAACAAACGAAAACTACAAAAATTGTCGATGATGTGGGAAGAGTAGGACATCATTGTATTTCATGGAGAGGTCGAAAAGGGGATACAAAGAATATCCGATATAAGGTGTATAACAAATTTGTCCAGATTTTGGAAAGTGCCGAGGTGCGAAAGAGCCTTGGTTCACGTTTGGAGGATTTGGTGGAGAAAGAAACAGCATTTGGACGACGAGTTAAAAAATATAAAAAGCATGGTTATAGTCGTATCGAGCTGACGTTTGAAGGTTCATCTTTGAGATCTCTTCAGTCATATCAAGACGAAATGGACAAGACAAAGAATCTCTTGAAGAAATGTAAAACATTTAAATGTTCCTTTGAGATGCAGTGGGAGGAACGTGCAAAATGCATTACCTCGATGGTGGCTGTACATTTTCCACATGAGAAACTGTTTGCTTATTGTCACTGGTGGAATTCGGTAACCTCTAAGAAGTATGGATATATGTGGCAAAACTTTAAGAACCCCGAGCTTATTACACTTTTGCTGGCTAACTATTCCTTTAACGATAGACCTATATATTTTGTGGAAGGACATGTAGAAGAGGTAAATGGGAAAGATGAAGTTATTTTGGGCGAAATAAGGACATTTAAGCGCGAGCCTGGATGTACTGCCATCACGCTAGTTGCTGGCTCGCAAAAAGGAATGTTTCCTTCGAGGGATGCATCTTCTAACGTCATTCGTAAATTTAGCAAAGTTGGAATTGTGGAAGTTGACAACATCTCTATTGCCTGGCCAAAGCGTGTTCATAACAGGTATAGTGCCCCACTTGCAGATATCTTCGAATATGATGAAGATACAGTAGACACAAATGTGTTACATCTGAAAACTATTCATGTTTCGATGTATACTGCAGCCGACCGAATTCTAACGCCCGATGAAGAGTATACCATTGTGGCGGCCGGTCTCAAAGAATTTCGTTCTGAACATCGTTGGCATTTTATTACAGCATGTGGCATAAAGGTGCGCGCAGGAAAATCGTTGGCAAAGATTTGGAGACCATGGCGTGTGGAGCATCTTCAAGGTCTACAGAGAATTGGTAGTGTGCAAGGTGTACCGTTGATGACATTTCGTGCAGTAAAAAAGGTTCGTATTCATGGCGAGGACGATATGAAGTGCGAGCGCGTTTGAGAGGTTTTTAAAAACTTTGGAAAGACTTTTGTTAATTATAGACTGGTATTATCATCTTCGTGGTTTGACATTTCCTCGTCATCATCCTTATTTGACGTTTGTTCATCATCATCATCTGAAGCAACATCTATTCCTACAAATTTCTCTTGCATTCTTTGTAACTCAAGACCATTTTCCAGTTTGTTTTGTACTGTAACGGTTTGTGTTAACTCTGGAACAAGTTGCCTTTCTCGTGGATAATCTACTCCTTCTTCCATCCATCCACGATGATGTGGCAGCTCTTCGATGTCGACTGCTTTGACAAAGTTGCGAACATTTAGCAAGAGAAGACAAAGGCGGAGTGTAAGATTAAACTCCTTTTTAGATCCAACTCGAACAATCTCCTTGTTATTAAACTTGGCGAATGTTTTCATGAGATCACCAAAGACAGCCTCTGACGTAGATCGAAATCCACCAAACATAGCATTAAAGTTGGATTCCTCTTCGTGGAGTTGCTGTAGTCGTTTCTTACGAATGGGAAAACAGAAGTTACGCTCGTCCAACTTTTCTTTTTCCACAATATCGCCAATGTATTGTGTATATCCTCCATCGAGAGCAATACAGTCCATGTTGTTGATCTTCTTACCAATGCCCATCTCTTGTAACATTTTCCCATCGTTGTTATCACGACATGACGCTGATTTGGATACAAAGAGAACCATTCCATTGGCATCGATGGCCACTTGCGTTCTCAAACCCGATTTCTTTAACTTATAAGAATACATTGCTGCTTTATCTTCCCCATATGTTGCTCGAGAGTCATGACCATCCAAGTAGAGAGTTACATGCTTGAACATTGGGGGATTTTTCCAATTGGCTGTTCGAATACGAATTTCCAGCGAAGAAAACATGGATGCAAAACAGCGTGTAATCTCCTTCTCAAACAATGCACGTTCCACCTTGACGAATGTACTGTATATCAAATGGAATGTGGACTTTGGCATATACTGTGCCATGGAATCCATAGTCTCTCCAGCGACGAAAAAGTACAAGAATGCAATTCCTTTCTCAAGTGCGTTATATGGACCAGGGAAATAGTGTTTACTCCAGATGGTAGATAGAAAGAAAAACACTGGTATGGCTCCAAGTCTCTTCATCAACACCTTTTTCATATCCTGTATTCTTGCAATTGGTTTCAACTCTGAACGATGAAATGTCTTGACCTTTGGGCACATTGGCCACGGTTCATAAAGAAATCCCCATTCGTTCTCCAACAGATTATCAAGCAGCCGTGCAAGTTTCTTTGGCGTAGGGTTTACGATGGTATCAGTCTCCATAATGTCGTTTTCTGCAAAAATAGGGATTATACACACGTAATTATGTCAATTATTCCCTAGAATTCCCCAGATATGTCATATTAAGAAATGGTGGGCATAGCTTAACAAAAGACGAGAAAAATGGTGTACTCCCTCGCCCAAAAAAAAGCGATCTCCCCCAATTCTATTCCTCGATTACCGATATGTAAAATATGTTTATGTTGATACTCTTTCCTTACGTTTTGCTCTTGTAATACTGCTAGATAACTATGTCCATTTGGATTCTTTTGCTTTTGTATATGTATTCTTTATAGATATATCTGTTGTCTTTTTAAAAACTCCTTCCATAATCGTCTGTACAAATTCTTGCAACGTCCATTGGTATTCCATAACATATTTAACTATTTCGACCCAAGACATTTCCCTCTGTAATAAGCAGAAGGAGCTAGCAAGCTCCCAGCTTGTGGCCGAAGCTCGCAAGTCCTTGCAAGCCCAGTCGACGCGGGACCAGTATGATCGGTACCAGGAGAAGTTCATGGTATGGCAAATTGTAAAATGTACCCCCATTTTTGCACAAGCATAGATAAACTATGGCCCCCGACTCGACGCACTAACTAACTCAATCACTCCATCCATTGGTATAGGAATGGTGCGACGTTTCTGGATATAAGGATGATTACAACGTCACGAAAGGCAAAGTAACCCGTTACTTTGCTTGCCTGACCTGCGAGACGGAAGATCCTCAAAACGGTATGAATATGAAGAATGGAACTAATGTGAGCGGTCATACGATACGACGACGACGACGAAACGCTATGGTGGTGTTTGAAATTATAAGAACTAACGAAAATATAAATGCTATAGGTATTATACGGATCAAACCATTGCCAAGAGACAGGAAGGGCAACAACAGCAAGGACAAGTCCGGCGAACGGCGGGCAAATATGGATGACCCGTGTTCTGATGATGATGTCGATGGAGGCGATGTGGAGGACAAAAGCGATGACGACTGCGAGGGGGACGCCAGTCGAGACGTTGACATCCACAACAGCAACAACGATAACAGTGAAGAGCGGTGGTACTCGACGGCAACCATTCTCTTGCACCTCGCTGCCATTGGCGACCTCTATAAGCATCAGTGTGAAGACAGGAACAATTTAGCGATGGATTATGGCACAGTTCCGGCCCCGAAGACGTACCTTCAACCTCTGATCGACGTTTACCGCGTGAGGATGTCCGCCAGGAAGAGGTCGACAGATACCGACTTTGGCTCTATCGACTTCACCCAGAACCCAACTTCGATTGTTCGGCAGCTAATGAAGCGATTCTGGATGCGCAATGTGGAGGGCGCAGCCAGCTTGAGAAAGCGCCGCTTGAAAGGGTTACGCGACCGTGCGGATGTAAGTCTTTGCTTTTTTATGATGTTCCGCAGCGAGGTCACACGCCAGATTCGACTCCCGGATCTTTTCGCCCACGACGTCGAGCCCAACCGCAACAAAAATACGAACGATGCCAGCTGCAGAGAAGGCCAATTCGTGCTTGGAGGCCTTTCAGGTCCAAGTTATCATATGGTGTTTGTTACATCTCTGTAGATCTCGACAATATCCATAGCGACTATGGGATGAGAATGTATATATGATACCAAGCATATAAGACAACCATTGTAACATTTTTTGTTCAACTATCCTACTAAACACCAACCTATTCTCCAAACAACAAAGTCTTCTTATTTTTCGCACACCACACTCTTGAATATGTCCATCTACTATTAACCTGTAACCCTCACTGCAAGATTCGCCAGAGTAGTTCTTGTATGTCATCATCTAAAGCACTTGTACTCTCAACTGTATCTTTGGGGCGAAATACAGGGGAGAGATTACATTTTAAAAAAACATGTGCTGTCTATTGCTATTTTATTCTGTGTTCTGTTGCCCACTATGAAGAGATATGTCAGTTATGGAAGTAAACACTCCGTTCCTTGGGCTTTGGATATTTTTTATATGCCTTTTTATATCCTCTGCACATGAAGGGGCCGCCTTGGAGTTGTGCTGATGATGAGGCAAGGCAAGACGAACAAGGACGGCAAGATTCAGTATGGAGTAGCAGTTCGGAACAAAGAAGTAGATGTGTGTCCAGTTGGCGCGCTAGCCTTTTATTTGCTTGAGCTTTGGTCGGTAAGTGGCGTGCATGTGGTAAATGTCGGCGGCCGACGCGTCGTGTCACTCATATTTCAACACTCATTTAATAATGCGTTCTTCCCCCCACCTCTTCCTTTTTTTTGCTGTACTAAGAGCAAAAACAAAAAGGCGCCTGATCTCACCAACCCTAAATGGACCGACTACCATCTGTTAGCTGGAAACAAACCAATGGATGTACCGATGACTTACAACTCCCAGTTCCAGGCGCAGGTGGAGGCTTTTCATGAGAGCGGGATATTGGACAAGGGCACAGTGACTCACCTTGGGCGCAAGCACGGCTCCAGATTCGCGCATATGTGTGGATCTACGGTAGAGGCTATCGCTAAGCACGGGAACTGGGCATCGAACCGTCTCTCAACTCACTATCTCGAGGGTGTAGAGCCTTCAGTGGCCCTTCGATTGGCTGGATTTGACCGCGACCGTCTAGAGCGCTTTGGAGGCCTTTCAAGTCCAAATTATCATATGGTGTTTGTTACATCTCTGCAGATCTTGACGATATCCACCGCGTCCATTAGAGGAGAGTGTATGTATGATACCAAGCATATAAGACAACCATTGTAACATTTTTTGTTTAACTATCCTACTAAACACCAACCTATTCTCCAAACAACAAAGTCTTCTTATTTTTCGCACACCACACTCTTGAATATGTCCATCTACTATTAACCTGTAACCCTCACTGCAAGATTCGCCAGAGTAGTTCTTGTATGTCATCATCTAAAGCACTTGTACTCTCAACTGTATCTTTGGGGCGAAATACAGGGGAGAGATTACATTTTAAAAATTCTTGTGCTGTCTATTGCTATTTTATTCTGTGTTCTGTTGCCCACTATGAAGAGATATGTCAGTTATGGAAGTAAACACTCCGTTCCTTGGGCTTTGGATATTTTTTATATGCCTTTTTATATCCTCTGCACATGAAGGGGCCGCATAGCCGTACTGTCGGTTGTCGATGTCGATAGCCAATTGTGAAAACTCGGAAAAGGTAGGTGGCTCGGGGTAGTTTGCCATGGCTTCTTGAACAGACTCCTTCAGGCCGAGGCGGAACTGTGAAATCATCGCGCTATCATTCCATGCTGTTGTCAAGAAAGCAGACCAAGCAATAGAATGAAGTAGATAAAGAGAACCTTGATCAAGGGCTAGGAAATGAGTATAAGGAATAGGTTAAGGCGTATATTGTATTGGCGATACCAAGTAAAGAGCTATAGATTTGCTATCTAAGCCCCTTTTATATTTGTTAGGGCGAAGTCACAAGAGCAAGCTCTTGTCTCGTGACAGCTGTATCCGCTGCAAGGTTGACGAAACGGTTTGTTTAGGCGATTTTTCAAGTACACGTCACACGGAAATGGTTTTTAAAACATCCAACTCTCTGTCAACGACCTGTGTACCATTCGAGTTGATGTATACAATCCGAATTTACAAGAGAGATACAATATAAATAGGCACCAAGCAAGATGCATTTTTTTAAAAACTAGTCTCTCATCTGCATTTTACCACAAAGATGCAACATAGGCAGAACAAGTTTTGGAGTATTGCGGGGTTTCAATAAAAATGAACAAAAAAAGTGACTATTAATCTGGCAGTAGCTCTAATCCTTCCTGCCTCTAATCTTACTGGTTGTGTCTCTAATCCTCCTCCGAAAAAAATTCTCTACAAAACTGGTCTAGTTTTTAAACTGACTAGAATAGCCCATACCCCTATCCTCGAATAAACTAGCACATATAACTTTGAGGTAAAAAAAAAGGTGCAAACCTATAAGTGTTAAATAAGTCGAATACTCTTACTCTCTCTGTTCCAACGGTTAGTAAAGCAAAACGAGCTGTTGGGCAGGTTCTTCATGTTTGTGTTGCTAACGTTTAGTCAACTAATCGGAGTAATTAGGAAATTAATCTCTGAATAGATAATTAAAAGGACTGCTTAAAGCACGAATAGTAGCCAAAAAAAATCATTTTCTTTGAAACGCGCATTATACACAGATTAGCGGCTTATAATGGTTTATAGTTTTTTTTATTCCGAGCACGATAGACAGTTATAAACCAGTCACATATGTGTGAATAGATTGTTTCATGTGCCCTCTCCTCTCGTGCCTGTGCCTGAACACATTGAGAACTGCGTTGCCCTCCTGCTTACATCACACTCTCTGCTCTCTATTCCTCTCTGCTCTTCCCTCCCTCTATCCCTAGGTCCTTCTATCATCACTCTCTCTACTCCCCTCTCTACTCCCCTCTCTACTATCCTCTTCTCTCCTCCTTCCCTCAGCTTTGCCCTCACCCTGCTCCTAACCATATGTAGAGCGAGCTGACATGTAACACTGTGATAGACCAAGGATGGTGTTTATTCTCTTCTCTTTGGGTACTTTCTCGAGGGAGCTTTGGGAAGAGCCTTGTAGTATTTATCAATTGAACCAACAGTATCGATTTGCCCTCTTACGAAGGCAAGTGCATTGTTTACGGCGGACTTGTCAACCTGCAAGCCAGCTGGGATAGAGCGCAGAACCGAATGTACAATGTCCTTCTTCCACTTGTAGAGCTGTGCATCTTTGCCTCGCCACGCTGAACCGAACCACCTATTAAGCTCTGCGATGGAGGGGGACCCATCGACGCCGTGGTAAAACCACTCTTGCCACAGTTGGTCGAGCGTATTCGGTCGTGGGATCAGCTTGCACTCGGGCATTAGGGGCATATGGTGTTGGGTCTCTCCTCTCGCCCTCTTCTCGTCGGCGACTAAGGCGGCTACTTGTCGCATTCTGTCCTCGACATTGTCGCTGGGGTTGAAAGCGGCCAGAGCTGCGCGGCGGTGCGCATCCCTTGAAAGAACTGCAGTGGAAGAAGTCAGAGGTCTTGATTCTTGCTGGCCAGCGTCCGGCTCTGGAAGCTGAAGAAGAGCGATGGCGGTAGCCATAGTGGTACTCTGGCTTGCTACACTGCCGTTGACGTCGTCACTGACCTTCACCTCATCGTCCTCGCTAATCGCCACCACGGCTTCCACCGTTGACTTGAGAGCTTGCATCAACTGAGATCGAACGGCATCCTTGTTCAAACATTGTCGCTTGTTGCCTGCCAGTTTGTCATTGTTGCCAATGCACCGCTTCAAGTCCTTCAGCTCGGATGCTGTCCTATCATTCTGAGCTTGTAAAGTAGCTGCTAGAACATTCATACCGGCGTGCAAACTCTGAAGTCCGGCTTGCTGGCTTTGCTGCAGGCTCCGGATTGCAGCATCTTGGACACCGAGCCTCGCGCCGACCCTGTCAAACTCCAGTTGGATGATGGGTGTGGCAGATGCGAGGGAATCCGTGAGAGGAGAGGGATTTCTCATGCTCTCGAGTAGGGTTTGCTGGAAATCTTGAAACGCAGGTGTTTTGAAGACAGGGTGATCGAAAACAGGGTGCGCGGCGGCAGCACCACCCCCCGGACAGGATGACAGCTGCATCCTGAAGGATAACCTTTCGCAGGTGGGCGAGAAGGCTAAGATGGCGCTTTCTTGAAATGACCTCATTCGACAGAACGGTCTGCATATCCTTGTCCGTATACACCTGCTTGACTTCCTTGCACTCGCCCCGTCGCAGCTTCTCACGCAACTCCTCGCGTCCGTGGAAAACGTCGCAGTCACGCATAATGTCGTCATTCGTGAGCCTCCAGAACGTGTCGGAGCAAGCATCCTCGATGAAAGGGAACAGCTGCCTTTGGAGCTCAATGCTGGGGATCACAGTGTTCCGAGCCAACCAAAAGCGGCCCCTTCATGTGCAGAGGATATAAAAAGGCATATAAAAAATATCCAAAGCCCAAGGAACGGAGTGTTTACTTCCATAACTGACATATCTCTTCATAGTGGGCAACAGAACACAGAATAAAATAGCAATAGACAGCACAAGAATTTTTAAAATGTAATCTCTCCCCTGTATTTCGCCCCAAAGATACAGTTGAGAGTACAAGTGCTTTAGATGATGACATACAAGAACTACTCTGGCGAATCTTGCAGTGAGGGTTACAGGTTAATAGTAGATGGACATATTCAAGAGTGTGGTGTGCGAAAAATAAGAAGACTTTGTTGTTTGGAGAATAGGTTGGTGTTTAGTAGGATAGTTAAACAAAAAATGTTACAATGGTTGTCTTATATGCTTGGTATCATACATACACTCTCCTCTAATGGACGCGGTGGATATCGTCAAGATCTGCAGAGATGTAACAAACACCATATGATAATTTGGACTTGAAAGGCCTCCTAGGTGGAAGTGTCGAAGACATGTTACATTTTTAAAAAGTTCATGCTATATATACAACCACAAATGCCAACTGTTGACAATTGGATAGTTTTTAAAATATCTACTCTTCATCTGTCTCAACAACTACCAAAACTTTACATCTGGAGAGTACAATTTAGGCAATTCCTCGATCGTGAACCCCATGGCAATTAACTTCTGCTTTTGTTTGTTGTTGGTAAATTTGTCTCGACTATAGTTACTGTCACCGTTTGCAGGTATCTTATACAGCAGTCCAACAATAATGTCCTCTTCGTACCTCTTGAGCAGATGACATCCGTCGAAAAGGTAGTTGGTTGCATATTCATGCTTCTTGTCAAACGAACATGTTGTCCATTTAATTTCGTCTTTATCTATGACGATTATACCCGAGGAGCTTTTATCTTTAGGGTACCTTTTCCACATAACATCCTCAGCATCTTTATCATCCTCAGCATCTTTATCATCTTCAGCATCGTTATCACCCTCAGCATCTTTGTCATCCTCAGCATCGTTATCACCCTCAGCATCTTTGTCATCTTCAGCATCTTTATCACCCACCGCATCTTTGTCATCCTCAGCATCTTTATCGCCCTCAGCATCTTTATCATCCTCACATGTGCTCTCATCTTTCTGTGGCAAGCTTTGCTTATGCTCATGCGGTTTAAATCCCATAGCAAACAACTTCTCTTTTTCCTTCTGGCTAAGAGAATGACACTCTACATTCTCTGCAGCAATATGGTCATCAGTCATCAAGCCGATTACAGTGTCTTTTTTGCGCATCTTGAGAATGTGCATTCCATTTACAAGTACATTCTCGGAATATTCCAAGTACTTGTTAAGTTTTTTCCATATCACCTTGGATTTATCTGTTGGTCCTTCTACTGGTACTTCTTCTTCTACTTCGATCTCCTCGTTGAAAAGCGTCTTTCTCTCTTCATCAGACAATGGTTGAAGTTTCATCTTGCTAAGCATGGAGCGTTCCAAGATATCCAACTCTGGAACATCACCGACACCGCGCAGAGCATCAAGCGTAAACAGGCCAACGTATGTATTCTTTCCAGATAGCCTGACAATGTACTTGCCATTCATCGTAAACTTAGTTGCATACTCAAGCATGTCGTTATTAGGATGAATCATCCATCCTCTGTCCTTCGCACGTGCTATGTCTTTCTCTGATCTAATGTTATGCACCGTTGTGGCCAGTGCAAATGTATGTTCATCTTTTCCATCCTTAGAAACGTCTACATTAGAAGATGGCTCTGCATTTTTGGGCATCTTTGAAGGCCTTTTCTTTCGAAGAGTCTTCTTCTTATCATCCTTAGATGACTTTTTATGAGATAGTTTTTCATCAGGGTTATCCTTAGAGGTATCATCTCCAGATTCTACATTAGGTCTGTTATTGGACTTGCCATCATCAGAGTCTTTATCATCAGGGGAATCATCGTCAGAGCCAGCATCATCAGACGTATCACCATCATCAGACGTATCACCATCATCTGTATCATCGTCAGAATTCTCATCAGCAGAAGACTCTTCTATTTTTTCTACATCTGCAGGAGTTGCCTCTTGGAGTCCCATCTTTTGCAATATACGTACCTCTTTGTCAGATAATTCCGGTACAGGAAGATTTTTCCCCATGAGCTCAGGTGGACACAATACAACGTAGAGATCCTTTTCCTTCAGCTTAATAATGTACTTGCCATTTACAGTATAGTTTTTTGCATACAGAAAAGCTGGATTAGTTGCATAACGCATCCATATGCCTGTATTAGCGAGTGGTACATTTTTCTTGGACGTTATGTCAACTACCTTTGGACTCAACGGAGAGGAGACGGCAATTTTATCTTCTTCATCATCATCGTCGGACGGCTCTTCATCCTCGGAAGTCATATCGTCATCAGATGATACAAACTTAGAAGTATGTGTCTTCTTTAAAGCCTTGGAAGACTTGGGACGCGTAACGACAGGTGCATTCTTGTTACCACGTTTTATATGACCTCTATCTTGATCTTGATGACGCCCACAGTATGTTTGACCAATTTTGGCTACACTACCACAATTAGCGCCCTTAATGGTTGTGCCTTGACACTTGCGCGCAGGATCGTGGACATAACAATGCATGCCTTCATCGTCAACTTCCTTCATGCATTTACGCTTGGACTTGACGCACTTTGCTCCACAAAAGTAGTATCTCTCCACTTCCTTATCCCCATCAAGCGCCTTAAAGATCTTATTTGCATCTTTCTTGGTAAACTCCACTCCCTTCTTAGAAGAAAATGTCTCGAAGGCCTTGGTGATGAGCTCGATTGTAAGCTGAACGTACTGCATGTTTTTGGATATGAACGATATAGATTGTACTTGTGGTATGGTGGGTGTGAATGACTTTTCAGTTTATGTGTGGTAGATTGCAGCTGCTTAGTACACTGATATAAAGAATTGCAATAAAAGATGGTTGTATAGGTATGGATGGTTGTATAGATATGGATAATGGTTGGTTGGTTACTAGATAAGATAAAGATTAAGCAAGAGGGAAGTGGAGTCCTTTATTTATACTAATTCATGGGACACTGCCACATTGGATATTAATAGCGCTTGCTTATTAACACTGCTTGGCGCTTAGTAACAAAAGAGTTTTAAAAAGGCATCTAAGTGGTTAATAACGTAGTGTTCCTCGTATGACGTAGATCTTGCTTATTAAGACTGCTTGGCGTTAAAGACGGGGTTTAAAAATGGTTAAGAATGTAGTATTCTTTTATGACATAGGTTTGTACATGTGTTTATGTATTCTTTTATGACGTAGGTTTGTACATGTGTTTATCCTCTTTGTTAAATAAAAAGGAATGTTGTAGAATAGCATAGAATAGCATCCGATCTACTACAATAATACCATGACTTTTAATAATAGATACCGGTGCATATTAGCGTCTAGGCAGTTAATACCGTATCTCAACGCTGACTAAATAGGCTATGTATGTCTATTCTTTTAAAAACCTGCAATAAGTCTACAAATTACCATTAACATCCATTTGTCGCTTCGTACTACGTACCTCAAAGCGCAATGGAAAGGCCGGGTTGCAGTATTACTGGTGGATCCATTGGTGTGTCCTCATCAGAGTACTGGTCCTCATCAACATTATCATGAAGTTCAAGACCAAGAAATTCGTTCTGGAGTTGTGCCATTGTATTTCCATCCTCCACTAGTGCACCAACATCAACATATCCCATTGGTTGCTCAACATCGTTCTCTGTCGTCGGATACTCGAATCCTTCGCGGAGCCAAGCTGTATGAATTGGTTCTGCAGGAATCTTTAACAAAGCAACCATCTTTTTCATGTTTAAGAGTAACAAAGATAACTTCAACTGCAAATTATATGTTTGTTTCTTATCCACCAATACAGGAGTACGATTGTTGTGTTTCTCAAATGTGGAACCAAGATCTGCAAACAGAGATTCCATCTGTGAGCGGAAACTACCAAAGGTGGTATTGTATAACGCTTCTTCCTCTGTAAGTTCCTTGTTCTTCTTTTTACGGTATGGATGAGCGAAATTTTGGAATCTAAGAGTATCAGACTCATCTACAAGCCTCCTTAAGAACTGTGGATACCCTCCATCGAGAGCTATGCAATCCATCTCATGCACTCTCTTGTCCAACTTCATCGTCAGCAGCATTGTTCCATCAGCATTGTTCTTGCAAGATGCAGATTTGGAGACAAATAAAGCCATGCCATTACAATCCATTGCTACCTGTGTGCGTAATCCTGACTTTTTCAGCTTGTAAGAATACATATCAGCACTGCTCTCACCTTTGTATGTTGCTCTTGTATCATGACCATCAAGATGCAATGTGACATGCTTAAATAATACAGGATTCTTTTCCTTTGCAGACAATAGGCGTATTTTAATTGTGGAGAACATTGTTGCAATACAGTTGGTAATGTACTTATTGTGCAAAGTATATTCTTTCTTATAAAACACAGAGTGCATTGCATGAAAACTACTTTTTGGCATGTGTGGTTCCATTGCTTCCATAGACAGTCCTTTGACAAGATGATAGAGCATTAAAAGACCTTTCTCCACTTCTTTGTATGGCCCAGGATACTTGACTTTTGGCCAGATATCAACAAGAAAGAAGTACACTGGAATAGGTCCAAGGCGTCGATTCAGAGTCTCTTTTATTTGTGGCATAAACCCAATTTCCTTGCTTACAGTACGATGGTTATTACGTGGTGTAACTGTTGGCCATCCAGCGTCAAGGAAAGTCCAATGGTCATCAAGCAGTTGTTTGAAATGTTTTGTTAGAGCCATAATAATATTTATGTATTGGATTGTCATGACGTTGACCAACAATAACAATTTTTTAAAAATGCTCATACTTTACTGCATACACAAGAGCATGTAGGATGGTATCTATCAACTGTATCTCACAGCAAGCACATAGTTGAGAATACAAATATACGTTTATATTTTTTTTCGGTAGCGGCCCCTTCATGTGCAGAGGATATAAAAAGGCATATAAAAAATATCCAAAGCCCAAGGAACGGAGTGTTTACTTCCATAACTGACATATCTCTTCATAGTGGGCAACAGAACACAGAATAAAATAGCAATAGACAGCACAAGAATTTTTAAAATGTAATCTCTCCCCTGTATTTCGCCCCAAAGATACAGTTGAGAGTACAAGTGCTTTAGATGATGACATACAAGAACTACTCTGGCGAATCTTGCAGTGAGGGTTACAGGTTAATAGTAGATGGACATATTCAAGAGTGTGGTGTGCGAAAAATAAGAAGACTTTGTTGTTTGGAGAATAGGTTGGTGTTTAGTAGGATAGTTAAACAAAAAATGTTACAATGGTTGTCTTATATGCTTGGTATCATACATACACTCTCCTCTAATGGACGCGGTGGATATCGTCAAGATCTGCAGAGATGTAACAAACACCATATGATAATTTGGACTTGAAAGGCCTCCTATGCAGTGACCCGTTCCGGCAACAAATCTTCCAGCACTCCGTCCCGTTCCACCACTGTCGTGATGTGGTTGCTTGTTACAAAAGATGATAGGAGGGGATCTAGTCTAGTCAAATGGACACCAAGAGCAAAAAGGACTAAGTTCTTTTAAGGAACGACTGGGGTAGTTCTAAGGAGTTCGCATATATGAGATCTTTATAACAAACAGGGGAAGGAAGGGGTGAAAAGATGGTGAAAAGAGTACTGACAATGAAGTAGACCCTGGAATATGATGCTTTCATCGCGCGTCCCGACTGTTCGATCGCCCGTACGTTTTCTAACGCCTGGGTATTGGTCGCAACATAAAGGAGGTCGAGAATAAAGGGAGCGCTGATCCTGCTTTCACTGGCGTTTGTTCAAAGGAAACACAACAAAAGAATGGATCAAAAAGAGTAAGAGAAAAGAAGCATCCCGAGCCAATAGCTCGGTTCAGAATTATTTATTCTCATTTTCTACACTACATATGGTGGTCACAAGAACGCCACCAAAATATCACTCGAAAAGCAGATCCCCATCTACATCACCACACCACTGCCCACACTTCTACTACCACTCAAGCCTCATCCACCCCAGCTACCGCGTCCACCCTGCTACCTCAGCTCCCGCGACCACTTCGATGGAAATGGATCTCTCGCATGCTCGCCATGGTCCTTTGCCACCGTCTGAGCGTCTTCGTCGTCAAAAGGAAGGACTGTGCACCTACTGTAGTTCAGCAGATCATTGGCTTGACGATTGCCCCAAGAAACCTGCAAAGCCTTCGTTCAAGAACGCCCCAAAGGCAACAGCCTCGATCTCGGCCCTTCAGCCTACACAGACTAGCGACCAGCCCAATGCGATCTCTTTCCAATTGGAAAAAGATTCAGCCTAGACAGTAAAGTTGGAGTGTGTCTGGGCGAGCTGTATAACAAATCTCCAAATGATCCTCTGCTATCCCCTATCACTATTCCAATCACTCTTCACTTCCAAAACTCCTCACTACCAGTCCATGCAATGATCGACTCAGGAGCAACCATCTCATTCATTCATCAAAATCTAGCACAACAGCACAATCTTCCACTAGCACAACACTTATTACAAATCTCTCTTGCCAATGGTTCAACACATACCTCTCATCACGCCACCACATTGGTTATGCAATCCCACTCACAACACTTTTCCACACACACTTTTCAACTCATTGCACTTGGCAATTATGCCATTATTCTTGGCATGGACTGGCTCCGCTCACACAACCCATATATCGACTGGAAGAAACGAACCATTACTATGCCATGCCTCCATCAGCACACACACTCGACAAGCTTTCCCCCCTTGCACAATCAACAATGCCTCGATCCATCCCTGCCTTCCAGGAACAAGACCGAATATTCGGTCTGCCACCTTCCAAACCCAAATCCACTTTGGTTCCCACCAAGTACACCTCAGGATCCAACCAACTATCCAAATCCGCCAAGAACCGATCAGCAACCAACATCTCTATTATTAGCAATGCACAACTCCGTCAGATCCTCAAGACCAATCAAGGAGTCGGATACATGCTCGACGTCTCCCGAATCGAAGAACTCGCCAGCGCAACCACCAACGACAACTCTATCCCTGAATCAAAACCCACAGTCCAACTGCCCGAGAAATATGCCGAGTATGCTCAGGTATTCTCCAAGATGCAAGCCGACAAGCTACCGCCACATCGACCCTATGATCACAATATCCCTGTGGTCGAAGGAGCCACCGTGCCATTTGGACCAGTATACAACCTATCACAAACGGAACTGCAAGTTCTACACGAATATATTCAAGAAAACCTTGCAAAATGGTTCATCCGTCAATCCGAGTCTCCAGCTGGCGCCCCCGTCCTTTTTGTTAAAAAGAAAGACGGTTCCCTCCGCCTCTGTGTCGACTATCGAGGCCTCAACAAGGTGACTGTCCCCAATCGATGCCCTCTGCCACTGATCTCCGAAACTTTCGATCGACTAGGCAAAGCCAAGTATTTCACCAAGCTCGACATGCGAGGAGCATACAATCTTCTCCGCATCAAGGAGGGCGACGAATGGAAGACGGCATTCCGCTGCCGCTATGGCCACTTCGAGTATACAGTCATGCCCTTCGGACTAATGAACGCTCCCGGAACTTTCCAAGCTTTCGCCAACGACGTCCTACGCGATTACCTAGATGACTTTGTCGTGCTATACATTGACGACATTCTCATCTACTCCGACACCCTTGAGGAACATACCGCGCATGTCCGCAAAGTTCTCAGCAAGCTCCAAGACGCTGGTCCATGCTTAAAACTCGAGAAATGCTCGTTCGACAAGGACAGAGTCGAATTTCTCGGCTTTGTGATCGGAACTGACGGTATTTCTATGGACCCCGCCAAGGTTGCCGCCATTCGCGATTGACCCACTCCCTCTTCCGTTTCGGATATCCAGTGCTTTCTGGGTTTCTCCAACTTCTACCGTGGTTTTGTACGGAAATAATCCCATATCGCCGCGCCTCTCACCGCATTACTCAAGAAAAATACTAACTTTGTCTGGACCGCTATCGCACAAGCCGCTTTCACGGAGCTCAAGTCACGCTTCATGTCTGGCCCCGTCCTTCGGCATTTCCAACCAGATCGCCCCTGCATCATTGAAACTGACGCTTCTGACAAGGCCCTCGGCGCTGTCTGCAGTCAGCGTGACCAAGATGGACGCCTACATCCTATCGCTTACTACTCCCGAAAACTCTTGCCTGCTGAACTCAACTATCAGATCTACGACAAAGAACTCCTTGCCATTGTGTCTGCCTTTAAACATTGGCGACACTACCTGAAATTCTCGCCCGCTACCACGGAAGTCATCACCGACCACAGAAATCTTGAGTACTTTACCACCACGCGCCAATTGAGCCGTCGTCAAGTCCGCTGGTCTGAAATCTTGTCTGACTACAACTTTACCATCCATTACCGCCCTGGCTCCCAGAATGCCGCTGCCGATGCTTTGTCCCGGCGGGACAACCCTGGAGAGGGAGGTGCGGCCCAGCACGGCAAGACCGAGATGACCCTCCTACCGCTGATCCAGATTCTGAACACCATCCAGGCCCGGTCACTGCAATCAGAGACGCCAGCGATCCAGGAAAAAATCAAGACACTAATCCCCGATGATCTATACTTTGGTCCAATACTTGCCAAGACCGCAAAGTCGAACTCGGAAAATGCCCAGTACTCAATTCAAGATGGGCTACTCCTGCGGGATGGCCTTGTCTGCATCCCCGACGATCCCGAACTCAAGAGACAAATCCTTCAAGAATGTCACGACGCCCCAACCGCCGGTCATTTTGGAATCACCAAGACCTCAGACCTTGTCAGTCGAACCTTTTACTGGCCTTCCATGTGGCGTTACATCAAGGACTACATCAACGGTTGTGACACCTGCCAACGGACAAAGTCATCCACTCACAAGCCTTATGGACTTTTACAACCCCTGCCTGTACCCGATCGCCTCTGGACCTCAGTATCGATGGATTTCATCACCCAACTCCCGCCCTCCAACGGCTATACGGCAATCTGTGTTTTTGTGGACCGATTCACCAAGATGGCGCACTTTGTCCCCACCTACGACAACATCAGTACACAGGATACGGTCCGTTTGTTCCTAGAACGCGTATTTTCAGCCCACGGTCTCCCGAATGACATTGTTTCTGACAGAGGCGCCACCTTCACTTCAGCCTTCGTTTCCACCATGTTCAAGTCTCTGGGGATCAATCAGAAGCTTTCTACCGCCTACCACCAACGCACCGATGGACAGACCGAGAGAGTAAATTCAATACTGGAACAGTACCTACGAGGGTATATCGACTATCAGCAAACGGACTGGAGCACCCTTCTACCGATAGCAGAATTTGCATACAACAACGCAACACACTCAACAACAAAAACAACACCATTCTTTGCCAACCTCGGCTACCATCCGAAATTCACCATCACCATCCCAAGAGTCTCGAAGGATAATGTCCCAGCCCAGGAACGCGTCCAGGCCCTAAAGAACCTCTGTGCGGAGATGCAACTCAATATCCACACCGCCATCGAACAGCATGCCAGGAACTTCGACACCAAGGCCCAACCACAACCCAATCTGCAAGTAGGAGATCTTGTATGGCTAGACGCCCGGAACCTCCAAACGAACAGACCATGCAAGAAGCTCGACCATAAGCGCATGGGCCCTTACCGTATTCTCGAAAAAATCGGCACTCCTTCCGTCTCGATTTACCACCAACGACCAAGCTACATCCTGTCTTTCATGTAAACTTACTTGAGCGTGCGCATCCAGATACGATCCCCGGTCGAGCCCCAAAACGACCTCCTCCGCTTGTCGTCTCCGGCGATGAGGAGTACGAGGTTGAGGCCATTTTGGATTCACGGATCAGGCGCAACCACCTTGAATACTATATACATTGGAGAGGCTACCCCGTATTCGAACGAACCTGGGAACCGGCCGCCTGTGTCAAGAATTCCCCGGACCTTGTTCGCGAGTTCCATCTGCAACACCCTCACAAACCCAGCCAAAGGCCTCTTGGAACTCGGCCCTAGAGGGGGAGGTTGTCACGAGACAAGAGCTTGCTCTTGTGACTTCGCCCTAACAAATATAAAAGGGCCTTAGATAGCAAATCTATAGCTCTTTACTTGGTATCGCCAATACAATATACGCCTTAACCTATTCCTTATACTCATTTCCTAGCCCTTGATCAAGGTTCTCTTTATCTACTTCATTCTATTGCTTGGTCTGCTTTCTTGACATCAACAACCGCACAGTCTGCGTCGGCGATTGTGGAGAATGAGCTCGACGAGTTTCTACAACGGTGGAAAAGCATCAAGTCGGAGAAATACTTCTGGGGCAGGATCAAAAATATGTGGAACGCCGGAACCGCCACGACACCCTCATCGTCAACGACAACAACGACTACAACAACAGCATCGACTACCAATACACCACCACCTACAAATATGCAACACGTGATGTCCACCCCAACGTGGCTCTATCCTGCTTGCGAGGACATCGCCCCTATGACCGGCATTAGTACGATATTGTTGACTCGTAGTCCTGACCGACAGGTCGGGTTCTTTTCGTCGGACTATGGTCTTTGTCAACTTTCGGTAACTACAGCTCACACTGTAGAACAGATGCAGGGGCATCTGCAACGATGTAAGTATTTGCAAAGGCTTGTGCACATTTAGAACGCTGTTGGACGCAGCTGACTTGTCGTGCAAGTGCTAAACCATCCATTTTCATTTATTTTTATAGATGCAATGATCAAGGATCAATCACATCCACCCACCAGCCCCTCGAACCTCCCAGGACAACAGCGGCGAGATCACTGTAGATCTTTGCTTCTCCCGACTCCATATAAAACCAGCGCCAAGACTCTTCGCCAAACATCCAGTATTGCCAGTACAACTCGAAGCAGATTACAAGACTTGAAACAAGGCACGGCCAGAGTCAAGGAGGCATACGGCAGAGTCTCCAAGGTGTCTTACCATCGCTCAACGTCACTCGCCACCATCACGGACACGCATCGAGTACGTAAGCAGTACGCCTCCACCATTAGAGCCTTCGAAAACACTAATAAGAGACAGGGACAGAGGAAGACTTTGGAGCTCAGAAAAAGGCGGGGATGGGACATTGCCGCAGCAACTGAAAGAAGCTATGCCAAAGAGGCGATCAAGGGTAACTCGGTGTCTTTAATCGCGTTGCTATTAAGGTTGGGCTGCACACTGATTTTTACCAATGGTCTAAATATATGTGTACGCGTCTTCTTGACCGTCTTTCTGATAGTTGTTCCTGCCAGTTGCGTTAATACAGTGGATGGAGTGGATGGCTACTGTAACCTTTGCCAGACTCACCATATCCCGCGTGATGGGACTAGCCTGTTTGCTGTTTGGCTACCACACGGAAACCTGTCCTCAGGAAACTCCACATACGCTCCCTGTTGGAATAATCGGAGATGCTGGCACAGCAGTCGGAGCACGTCTGAAAGGACATTTCAAGATGGGAGGTCGATCATTGTGTTGGCTTCATTGTCGCTACGGTCCAACGCTTATTCTGGACGAGAACAAGTCATCCTGCCTTTGTATCTTTTGCTTTGAGGTTGTCAAGTTGGCCCAAGGCATGCGTCCGAGCTGGTCAGATGGCAAGATGCGGATGAATAGTCTCCAAGGTGCTACCGTATGCGTAAACCGTTCATTCATATCACATGTTGCGGGATACACCGTCAGAGGACGAGATACTCAAGCTTCCGCGGCCATTGGTCTCGCTGCCACAGCAATCCTGTTGGACTCGGACCGCGCCCCACTTCCCCTTTTCCAGCGATCGACTCTCCCATCGTCAGTTCAGCAAGCATTGAGTGAGCCATAAGGAGGACAATTGACGCACACATCTAGCAGTATTCAATAAACTTGGCATTCTTGCCTTTTGAAGCATTTACTTTATCTCTTTCATATACACGACCTGTTGTATCGTCTGTAATAACCCTTACTCCGTTTGATGGGCAAATTTGCCCGTCCGTTTGCATGCATTTAGTGCGCTCGCCAGATATTTCAGCGACTAAGTATCTGATACTCCCTTCACTTTGCCAAAAAGAGAGGTACCATTGTAAACATTCCGTCCATCTTGTATTCTAGTCATATGAGCATGATTTGCATTATGCTCAAGTTTCATCGAAAATTGCCTATTGAAAATGACTCCCCGCCATTCATCTGGTAGTGGAGTAATCTCTATCTTCTTAAAAAAAACTTGATTTTTAGTTAAATCACGTGAGGGCGGAGCCCGAACTAAAAAAAAGTATCTTGCGCGTAGCGCCAGCGCGAAGCGCCAGTATTTTGTGAGCGAAGCGAGCGATGGTCACGGGCAAGGCCTTCAAGAGTATCTTGCGCGAAGCGCGCCAGTGTCCTGTGAGCGCAGCGAGCGTACGGGCACAGGACAAGAGGATATGAGGGCGTAGCCCGAATCAAGGGGCTTTGAAGAGGATGTGAGCGCAGCGAGCAATGGTCACGGGCGCGCGCCCTGGCGCGACAATCGAAAGTATCTTGCTCGAAGCGCCAGTATCCTGTGAGCGCAGCGAGCGTACGGGCACGGGCTAAGAGGATATGAGGGCGTAGCCCAAATCAAGGGACTAAAAAGAGGATGTGAGCGCAGCGAGCAATGGTCACGGGCGCGCGCCCTGGCGAGACAATCGAAAGTATCTTGCGCGAAGCGCCAGTATGTTGTGACCGCACGGGTACGAAAGGGAGAAGATGATGTGAGGGCGTAGCCCGAACCAGAGGACCTTTTTTGCGCCAAGCACCCGTACTTTGTAAGCGAAGCGAGCGATGGTCACGGGCAAGGCCATTAAGAGTATCTTGCGCAAAGCGCGCCAGTATCCTGTGAGCGCAGCGAGCGTACGGGCACGGGACAAGAGGATATGAGGGCGTAGCCCGAACCAGAGAAACTTTCTTGCGCAAAGCCCCAGTACTTCGTAAGGGCAAAGCTGTAGCTGTCAGATCCCTATTGCCGCCTGCGGCAAAAGGAAGCGACCGCTGGAGCGTGGCTGTCTGGGCCATCTAGCGCAAAGCGCCAGTATGCTGTGAACGACCCTTTTCGCAAGCCTACTAAAAAGCAAGAAATCCTCTGGCGTGATGTAGAGCAAAGGGCAGTCAAGGATATCTTGAATATACTGCGAGTGAGGGTGACCCGAGAGAATAATGAATACTAACAAGGCCAGGGGGATGGCTCCTCAGCTACTAAGATGACTATCTAATAAGGGAGGTCAGCTGGGCCCAGCTGGGACCAGGGATATTATTCTTTATGGCACAACAGGAAACTCGACAGGTATGAGCTCTACATTCCCCAAGCGTGCCATTGGCCACAGGTAGTTGTGAAAAATTTACAGTCACACTACAGTTGAAAAAGGAAAAAGGTAATAGGCAAGTGGCACCCGTATCTTTAAACGAGTCTTCTTCAAAGACCCTTCAAACACCCTTCAAAGACCCACACCTCTCACCCCAGATCCCCTTACAGCAACTTCCGGCACCCGTGGCATCGCCCACGGGCAACCTTTCTAGTGAAGATGTAGTCTATCTAATCTTCTACTAATACAAAATCGTTATCTCCATCACCTGACTTATCGTAAATCGTGTGATGTTCCCTCTTTCTCTTTCTCACGGTGTTGTGGTGTGTGTGGTGTTGTGGTGTGTGTGTGGTGTTGTGGTGTGTGTATGGTGTGTATGGTGTATGTGTAGTGTGTGTGTAAGTGTTTGTGTGTGTTGTGTGTGTTGTGTGTGCTGTGTGCGTTTTTTTTAGTTTAAAGTTAATTAAATTAAAATGAGAGATGGATGGGGGTTGCAATCAGAGTCATACCGGTAAGCAGATCTGCCGGTAACCATGTTAAAATGCGACTGCGGAATGAGAGCCACGCCGGTAAGAAGATCTGCCGGTAAGCAGTAAGCATGTTAAGATGCGAAAATGGAGAATGGAGAGAGTAGAGCCGATGACTTTTCTTTCTCTTTCACGGACAAGCATATTTTCTTTCCTTCCTTTCTCTTTTTTTTTTTTTTTTTTTTTTATCTGTCAGTAGCCAGCATACCTTCCACTCGCTCTCACCGTGTCACTCTTACTACCACTTCCACCCCTGATGTCTCTCCTTCTGCGACCTTTACAGGATACAGACGGGCCAAGGCGACCAACTTAACAAGGTCGCTCTACTGCTAGCGCTCCCTCTACTTCCTCCACTCTCCACTTCCTTTCCACCAAATGTACCACCACTATCACCGCCAAACTCAATGCCATCACCCCTTACTCTTCCTCCTCATTCCTCCTCTTCTTCCTCCTCTTCTTCTTCCTCCTCTTCTTCTTTTCCCTCTTTCCCCCCTTTTACCTCCTCTTCCTCCTCCATCAGTAGGTGTGCCAAGCATCGTGGACGTGGGAACGGCCAACAAAGGTCGACAAGTTGTTACTGTCCCTACTATAAAGGAAAACAAACGGTATTTTAGAGTAAACAGACCACAATTGCTCAGATTGCCGCCTCTTTACAGCACAACTCCTAAGTTATAATGGTAACAACTGCGAAGCAAGCTTTGATGCCATTTCAGACGGGGATGCTTACGTTGCAATTGCTGACGTGGTTCAATAGTTCGAGACTACAAGTAGAGCGTCTAATCGAATTTATTCGAATTTCCTATGTTTTGCTTAGGATTTGTGCGCATTCGAAACGGATTAAAATTTTCGACTCGAATGCGCACAAACCCAATGCAAACCATAGGGAATTCAAATAAATCGATTAGATTGGCTAACTACAAGTCAGACAACGATTGAGTGAGAGGGTGAGGGGAGTGAGGATGGGTCATCGATCAGGCGGCGGAGGCACTGGTACCGGGGGAATGCTTCCAGCCTGAGGCCTACCATTCCGACCCATTTAGGTAACATAAGCGACAACGACGACCTGCTGAAGGAGAAAAGCCGATTGTCCCAGTTACGCATGATTGTAGCAGCCACGCATGGCTCCAGCCCAACGCCAACCATTCCGACCCATTCCGGCCCATTTAGGTAACGTGAGCGAGCTATTGCCATCGCATTGCATAGTGCTCCTCAGTCCTCTGCTACGAGATGTAATGCTTGCAGACAACTTGGTCACCGTTGTACAGCTCATGCGGATTGCCTTTTGAGCAGGAAGCGCATAATCGTTGCAGAATCTCTTGCTTCTACTCCTTCCACGGTCCTTGCTACTCCAGCCGCTTCTGCCGCTCCTGTTGCCCCTGCTGCTTATGTTACCCCTGCTACTCATGTTTCCTTTGTTGCTCATGTTGCTCCCGCTGATCTACGTGTTTTTGGGAATAGAGTAGCTGCTGTTAAGGAGCAGGACGACACAGTGTACATGATCTAGGAATTGATGAGCGTGGTCTGCTCTCATTGGGGTGCTTTACATTGGACAGAGGTAACCAGTTACGATAATACCTACAACTATTCTACATTCTTCTTTCTTTTTATTGATGCGCGATTTAATTATTTATTTTGAATACGCAGGAGCGTGTCGGACGTACAGTCGCTAATCCACGCTTCTCTGTGTGCTGCCTAAGAGTCAAAATGCCAGCCATCGAAGCTTCCCTTGCTGGATTGCAAAGCCATTTCAGAGGTATTTCTTGCAACCACCCGGACCTTCAACAGTGTCTTTGCCTTTACATTACATCCTTTGGTACCAGTACAAAGTACCGTGACATTCGACATGCGTTGACCGCCTGGCAGAGGGAAAGCGAAAAGAAAAAAAGGTATTGTGAGTGCGATAGAGGACTTTGGGAGGATGGAGATATGGCACGTACGTTACAAGGGCGACGGTCGAATAGGGAATGACCCAAGGAATAACACCTCGAGAGAGGAAGGCAGGTTTGAGCAAAGGAGGAAAACCGACAGGATTTAGCCCGCCAAGGCAACGAGTCGATTTGTCAAACAAAGTCTGAATGAGGCGGACGAGAGGGTTGTACAGTACGTTCATGGCAAGACGGTGTTGTATTTGATAGAAAGAAAGGAGACTGCTGCATAAAATCTTTGACCGAGATCTCGACTGACAGAGGGCTCATCAGACACGACAGGTCGCATTGGGGATGCGGAGGGCTGGCTCGGTGCTCGCCACTTCATGGCATTCATGCGACCCAAGTTGTGTATCTATAGGCATTCGAGCTCCCAGGGATCCCGTCTGACACCTCCTCCCCGTGGCTGTGGCTTGGATTAGTCAGGCCTGGCACGCTGGCACGATTTGTGGAATCTGACAAAGAAAAAAAAAGGAAGGGAGGGCAAAACGAAAAAAAAAAGTGAAGACAGAAATAGAAAAGTGAGAGAGAAATGAGGAACTAACAAACACAAATAAACTTTGCAATATTCAACCACCACCACTTTTTTATCAATTCACACTTGCTCCACACCTCCGCGAGCGAAGCCGCGGGTACTATCTCTTTCTCTTTAAAAAAATAACGATTTCTGTATATCACGTGAGGGCGGAGCCCGAACTAAAAATGTTGTGAGGGCCGTGGCCCTCACCAGTATCTTGCGCGTAGCGCCAGCGCGAAGCGCCAGTATTTTGTGAGCGAAGCGAGCGATGGTCACGGGCAAGGCCATCAAGAGTATCTTGCGCGAAGCGCGCCAGTGTCCTGTGAGCGCAGCGAGCGTACGGGCACGGGCTAAGAGGATATGAGGGCGTAGCCCGAATCAAGGGGCTTTCAAGAGGATGTGAGCGCAGCGAGCAATGGTCACGGGCGCGCCCTGGCGCGACAATCGAAAGTATCTTGCGCGAAGCGCCAGTATGTTGTGACCGCACGGGTACGAAAGGGAGAAGATCATGTGAGGGCGTAGCCCGAACCAGAGGTCCTTTTTTGCGCCAAGCGCCCGTA